TTATTAGGCACAAAGATGGGACAGACAAGTCCACTTCGATCCGAACTCTTACGAACCAATTCTTCTGGCGGAGGACTGAGCCATGCAAGGAATCCCGACAGATCCATTGGTGCTGTGCTTGAGTCGTGACTTGGATCAACTGCATCTGGCATCTCGATGTCGGCTGGATCCGGTGGTTCAGTGGGACTGTACTCCGTGTCATGATCTTGTTCCGACTCAAATATACAGGTGCATCGCCTCGCTTCGGATCACTCGGCTTTTCAGATGCATCGCCTGGAGCATGCATCGGTGGCTTCTTTTCGGAGTACCGCATGCGACCGGTTGGATGTGATGGATCAAGACTCTGATGGTCTATGGGCTTGACTGGAGCCCTTGACTCTGATGACTGACCCTCAACCTTATCAACCACTTTCGGGACTGACTCAGACAACGCATTGCGCTGACTCTGCATGCACCCACTCTCTATATCTCCGGCAGCAAGTGGCTGTGTGCTTTTTGGCATGTCGACTCGATGAGTTGCAAGCACTGCAGTTTGGAGTCCCCCCATGCTCCCTCACCCATTCCCTTGGTGGCCCGTGATTGGGCAGTGCATCCTCAACCCCAATCTTGTCATCGAGCGGCTCCGGCGGTCGGGACTGCTTGGGCATTGATGATCCATCATCTTTCGCAATGCCTTTGAGAATGGATGGAGCGAGGTCGGGGTCCCATTAATCCTACTTGATATCGCGTGTGCCAAACTGTTTGGCTTCACATGCAAATATGCTGCTGGAATGAAGCGAGTTCTTTCGGGGATGCTTTCAATCAATGAATCTGGTACTCGTGCATGGCACACACTCCCAAACATTGTGGAGGTTGGCTTCGGACGGTCCTTGCCTACAATTAACTCGATGGGCGATCTCTTACTCTCAAGTCCTGCTGATTGGCCTATCGAACCTCCCACACCGAAGTGGTTTTGGGTTTGTGTGACATATTGCGTGATTCGATTGAAGCTCTCTGGGCTACCGGTCAAGTCGAATCCATGGAGACGCAAATCACTCCTGATACAGGCCGTCATTTCCTTGACCCTGCGAACGTTGCGCTCGGCTAAACCAATACTCTCGTGAGACTGGGGTGCGGCAGCTTTCACCTGAAGTGGTAGACTCAATCGCCTCAACAGGGCTCCAATCAAGGGCTCACTATCGGTCAACACTTCGACAGTCTGGGATGAGTGTTCTGAGATTCCGAGTTGCCGAAAATACTGTCGACATTCAGACACGATTTGGTCTTGATTGGGACCACATAGACTGACTCCAAGCAATCCTGTTCCGGCATCAACCAAAATGATGAATTTGCTCCCTTCCAAAAAGAAGAAATCTGCTTGGATCAAGAGCATTTGATGGTCAACAGGTGTGCTGTTTACACGACCATGGTGCAACGTGGATCTACTTTTAACACAATGAGTGCAACGCCCGTCAAATGGAATGTGACCTCGACGGCGGTGCAGCGACAACTCACGATCCACCTTCTTTGAAAATCCGGAATACCCAGCGACCTCACCCAATGAGCAAGGCTCTTTGGACACGTTGGATGGACTTGCATCCTGATCAAGTTCACCTGGAGCGGGAAGAGGCTGGTCGATGGCCGAGACGAATTCGATCTTTCGGTATGTGGTATGTCGATCGGGCTCATTTCGTTTCGAATCCGATTCAACTTGTTACATTTGAATCTCAGGTTGGTCATCGAACTTCAGCATCTTGGCGTGGTTGGATGGACTTCCACGACTCAGTGAACCTTTTGCCGATGTCTTGACCCCAAAGAACGAAATCCGGAGTACTTTCACTGGCCTTGGATGGGGACTGGGCATCGGAACTCTCATCTTTAGATGTCTCACTCGGTGGCTTCTTGCAGAACCATGAAACCAAATCAGACTTCATTTCATTCTCGGAGGTGTCAATGGTCCAAGGGTCCAAATTTCGAGTCATGTCAACATCCTGGTCCTTCCCACGGTGCTTGCGAACATGGGCACGAATCCAGGGCACACTGCTCCAAATCTCACAATCCAATCTCCTGATGTCGCCGACACGGATATGGCACTGGTCAGGACCAAAAACAAACGTCGCTCCAAGACGTGTCAGCCCAGACACACTCAAGAGATTATGCTCAACAGGTCCTACAACTGCTCTGATTTCATACCTTACCAACTTGGTTCGATCATGATCGTCATGTTCAATGACAGTGGGGAAGCTGACTTCTAGCATACACTCATGATCGACCTGGACCTGTTCACCTGAAGCAGTACGAAATGAGATGGGGCTGGCAAGTTTTCGTTCACGCAACACTCGATAGGCCGAAAGGGAATCGATCGACACAATGGTCCGGCTAGCGCCGGAGTCAACAAGCCAAAGGAATGGGTCAGTGCTATCAACATTCTGGCAAATGAAGAATGGACGAGCGATGCTTTCAATAGGCAACAGGGGTGACAGGCGACCGCCACTCTCAATCTCTGGCTCTGACCATTCGCTCCCGACTTCGGATTCCGGTTGCTGTTCATGGAATTCTGTTGCCCTCTGTCCCTTCGGCTTGCCTCCCTTTCCATACTTGCCACCTTTCTTTCCCTTTTCGTCCCCTTTGTCATGTTTGCCCTTGCCTTTCTTGTCACCTGTGGGATGATCATCAACCTTGGCCTTTCCTCCTTTCTTCAATGGGCAATCACTCGCTAAATGACCTCTTTGATTGCAACTAAAACACGTTCTCGTTTCGGATGTTCCTCCAACTCCTTTCCCTTTATCTCGGTTCTCGAATCCCTTTGCACCCTTTTCTCCCTTCTTGTCTTTTCCTTTTCCCCCTTTCTTACCCTTATCCCCTTTGATGGCTGCAATAGGTTGGCTGTTGAGATCAGACCAAATCCGTTGTTGAGACTCATATCGAAGTGCAGCCTGGAGATAAGTATCGAATCGCTCGTCGGAAGAATGAAGGACAATCCATTGGCGGCATTGAGCTGGAAGTGAGCGAAGTAACAAAAGTACCTTATCAGCTTCTTGGAATTCAAGCCCTTGCGTGTTCACATTTGGGTCAACCAACTGTGACACTCTTTCAAATTGGTACAGCTCGGATTGAACCTTCCTCACACATTCGGGGATTGTCTTGGAGGTGATGGATGCATTGGACAACTGTGACCGAAAGAAAAGAAGCTCTGTTCTAGTCTTGATTGCATACTCTTTGGCCAAAAGTCGAAGGCATTCGAATCCACAGCAGCGCTGAAACCCCTTTGCTTCTTCATAGTTTCTGATGACTAGAGACGCTTTGGCACTGTTTTCGAAGCAAAGCTTGAGAATGGACATGAGCCTGACTGATCTTGTCACCTGTGCGGATGTCAAGCGATGCCAACCAAGTGGCTTGCGTTCTTTCAGGGCGGCCATGATTTCAGTGGGGTATGCGTTGGAGCCTAACCCTGTCCAAGACGCCAAACTCGTGACCCATTCAATAAAGCCTACGATCTCCGTTGGACGCGTCTTCCAGTCCTGGAGAGCTGGGGTTGGCACCGGTGGCATCCACTTCTCCGATCATCTAAAGGGATTATCATCTTTCTGTTCTCCCTGATCATGTGCAGAACCTTGGGGAGTGTTCACTTGAATCGGCTGCACTGGCGAAAACCCGGGAGGTGGAGGGATAACCGTGCCTAATCCCTGCTGTGCAAACGGATGCTGTTGATCTGGACTATTTGCCAAACTGTGCGGAAACGGTTGATCCGGAACCCCAGCGGCTTGCGACGAGCTCTGATAGAACTGTCGCCATGGATCGTTCGCCATCAAAGGATCTTGCATTCCTGATCCACTCGAGATGCCTTGGTTAGGCTGAGAAGGCCATGGGTTCATGGGATGATTCGGAATATCTATATTGGGATGGTTGGTCTGCGCAAAAGTGCTATCGGCGCCGGCTGGAAACGGCGGGACGTTCACGGGAACTGCATTCGGTGCAGTGGGAGTACCGACAACATTTGGCGTGATCGGCGCCTGTGTTTGAGGAATTTGGAATTGATTCGAACTAGCTGGCGGCTGCACGGACAAAAGCTGCTCAAGCAACGGTCCAAGTCCGCTCAAGGTACTTGCTAGATGACTTACCTGGTTCTCCAAATTCGAGAGTCTCTGCTGACTTGAACTCCCACCGCCCGGACGAGTCTCTGGAGCACGACGAGTTTCGGAGCGGCCCCTGGATCTCTCGCGGGCAGGTCGATCAGCATTGCCAGAATCCGCCATGGCTCAAAGATCACTAAGTGAAAGTGGCCAAGGTGTTCTAGAGTGAACTGCAACACTGTTGACCTATGCTCCCTTTACAGGAGCTCCGCTACCATATGAAACTTCAAACCAAGTTGAACAAGTTGTCAAACCCCAAGAAAAACAAAATGCAAAACTTGGTACACTTCTCGAACCCTCGTCGGTGTCGGCACGCGACGTCTTCTCACCGCCCAGCTTCCCGGGCGCGACACTTTTGTCGCGCTTGAGCCATGCCACGATGGCATGTCGAAGTCTCGAATGCGTGTCATCCCTTGTGCAGGGGTCCATGCTCCTCTCTGGTTGGGATGTGGTACACACTCGATTTGTGCACTCGGGGCACATGACGAGTCGGCCAAAAGTGGATTCGTGAATCCACAGCCTGCGGACAAAAGTGCACCAGGCGTCAAGGTGGAGGCCGCCAACACGGGTTGGCTGCCCAGGCGGGTAGGCTTAGGAAACTACCACAGTAACAAGGCAATAACCGGTGCATTTCAAGCGAATATGCCTTGTATGTGTCTATAGATACACGAGCAAATGCAAGAACCCTTTTGGTTGTCAAGAGGTCCATTCAGGTGTCAACTATTCACAGGTGGTGGTGGTGGTGGTGGTAGTAGTGGTAGTGGTGGTGGTGGTGGTAGTAGTAGTAGTAGTAGTAGAAGCAGCAACTCCCCCCCACCCACTATGGTTGCAGTCACGCACAATTTCTTGGTTGGAATGATGTGTTTTCTGATTGTCAGCCTCGTTTAGGCGAGCGAGAAAACGGATCCAGGCACCGTGTGGAGCTGGTTGAAATGTGAAACCATCGTTTGCATCACTTTGACTATTGATGCTTCTTGTCATTGGACATTTTTGTGTTGTTGATTGTACACTACCCTTGAGGGTAGGCGGCAAGAATTTTTGTGTATCGCCATCATGGCAAAGGAATTCCGAGGCAATGCCTTCGGAAACAGGGCTATAGCACTTCATTGCTGGGCATTTGATCCCAATGTCATCCCATGTCTCCATCAAACATCGATATTCAAAGGCCAAGTGCTAGCAACATTATTCCTGTCATCCACTGGAATCATTGTCATGGAGGTTCGTGGGGTACTGGCCAAGTCTTCATTCTTTATCGCAGATCGCTTGCGAGGCGCTGCGCAGCTGAGTCCTCAGCGCCAAGAGACCGGTATTCCAATTTGCTGGTTGTGATGAATGTGATGAGCCAAGGCTAGCTGGGCCTTTGGCATCCAATGTGAATGACGGAGGCTTTGAGAAGCAAAGGAGTCGCAGGAAGTGGTCAGTCCTGCCGCATTGCCTCGTGAGGCTGTTCGTCCGACACAAGCCCCGCTTGAACCTCGGCACCTCATTGTCACTCCAAAGATGTTTTCAGCCTGATGTATTTTTTTAAATGCTTTTGGACCAGGCAACAGAACTTCAAGCCAAAGTCAGCGTCTGAGAGGTATCGGTTCAGCCTTGTCAGTTCTTGTTCTTGTTTGCCTTGCAACCTGGGCGGTTCTCCTGCAAGACCTTCTATAGATGTTTAGAAATTCTGGTGATGCGATGGCCAATAGCTGTTTGATTATTGATGTGTTGCAAGACATCTGCAGTTCTGATACTATTGAGTTGTTTGAAGGAAGCTAACTGTCTACTTGGGCTGATGCATTTAAGCTCATTCTTTTTGATTGATCCGGATTGGACAGAAACTTATATTATATATATCGAAACATACTCACTCACCTAGGATCTACCCTTTCAGTATTGGGCATGTTTGCTCGGTGTGATCACATGCACAGTCATTTTCGTTCCGGTACCTCACTGTGGTTGCTTGAGAGAAGTCTAAACAAATCAATTCTTGACCGTACAATCTACACATATTTCAAATTAGCTACACTTTAGACTCCGACACAAATGTTGCTAAGACCTATAGTGTATCAGAATGTTAAATTGCGTTCATCCGTTCGCCAAGTAGCTCTTATATAAGTAGCACTGTATGTACGAGACAAACTTAGTGTGCTCACATGAAAGACTCTCAGCAAGTGGTGATCTTACTTATAACTCCCGAAGAAAACATGGCAACATATGGCAACTGGCAACCTTATTTGCAAGAATACACGTTCAGGACTCTTTGGCAATGCGACAGTTGTTTTAATTTTCGAGCTTTCCATGCAAAAAGGCTCGGAGCGGCGGGACATGGACAAACCTGACCAGATCCAGATTTCATCGAAATTAACTATTCTACGGTTGTCTCGAAAGTGGAGCTGGCCATGTGGGTGGTTTACTTAAGTACTGAAAAGAACACGTTGGAATGCTTTGATGTTGCTGTGTAGTGTAAATAGCTTGAAACATTGTTCAGCAAGGTTCCACGAACTGCGCAGAGCGAAGCATGTCCGACTGTGCCTGCGGCTCATGAACAAATTATGTTTGTCATCAAATCTGAAGAAAGGTTTGAGGAAGATGCAGTCAGTGTGGTTTTGAGGACCAGGCAGCCTCCACCTCCACCTCTTGCTCGACGGCGATCTGTGGTCCCACACTCAGATTTCACAGTTGAGCTGTGTGCCATCAAACAGTTATACATCAAACTCATTGATTCTATGGCAACAAGAGCAACACTAGGAGACTTGGGCTTCGGGCTCCAAACCACACTTTATCATGGAATGTAGCTGCTACAGGGCAGGCCGCTTGTTGACAACTCTGCTTTGCAATGTAAATGTATAAACAATGTACAAACCATAACCTTGAGAAGACTCTCAAACTGTGGACTCGTTCATGATGTCCCTCACCAAAGGATCTTACTAAGCAGTTAAAAGGATCCGTGCCAGGGGTCGGCTACGACAAGCGTTGATCACGGCTCTTTTCCGACTTTGGCTTCTTTAATCCAAGCACTAAGAAAAGCATAGAAATGCTAAGTTTATCATAGTTTACGGTATCTATGTTTGTGTTTTCCTGTTGTTTCTTCCCCATGTTTGCCGTGTTATTGTAATGTTCCTTGTGAACTAAGTGTTCGACAATTTGTTGAGTTGAGTGAAACTTTCAGCCCCAGTCTCCCTCGTTCAGCTTCTGCAGTCCTATACATGACATAGACATATTTATATGCAATATATATCGCTGCATTGCCGTTTGGACTGCATGCCTGGGGCCCTGCCTGCTTTCCTGCAATGTGCCCTGCTGCATCCTGCCTGGTTCCTTATTTCTTTGTTTGCATTGACCGATCATGTTTCTTTCTTATTTAGCTACCCGAGTTTTTGTCCAGCATAAGTGTGGAATAGTTCTTCCAAGCACCGGCCTCCAAAACAATAGCAGGGGCCAACGGATTCTTAAGGTTGCCTTTTTGTTCTTCCTTGATTGATTGCCTTGTATAGCGAATTGCCACCTGTGGCAGCATCGTCCCTAGGAGATTCACGGCCATTTACCACACTGGAAGTACATAGCAGCAGATGGAGAGGCGGCTTTGCTGGTATAAAGCAAATGCTTGGGGCCCTGCGGAAAGGAAGAGAGAAAGGTCCTCGAAGTCCAAAGAAAGTACATATAAGAACGATTAGACAGCTGCTTCAAAACAACACAGCTGCTCCTATGTATAATTACACCCGGTGTGCCGGGTTGATTTGTATTGAGAGAGAGGATCAATAGGGAGTGAAGTTCCAATTACATAATGCAACATGGAAGGAAATGAGAGGAAATGCATGCAAAATGAAAGGAAATGTCTACAGGGAAAGAGCCTTCATCATAATGTGATGTTACATGTTCAGTAAAAAAATGCGACCGCTTGGGAGGGTACTCGCATGACCGGTTCGAGCACTTCGCCTTTTCAACGAAATTAATGGGAGCGCCGGAGGTCACCGCAATGTTTTGGAGGTTATGTCTTAGAATAATCCCCTAGTAGCTTCTTGTTCCTAGTAGTACGGCCAGGAGCCCCTAGTAGCGTCCTTGCTCCTAGTAGCGATGCCAGGAGCCCCTAGTAGCTTCTTGTTCGGGCCATTTTCTTTGGGATTTGCCCTTCTTTGGAAATGGTGCCCGCGGCGGGCGCCGTGAGCGCCGTGTACGAAACTGTGAAATTGTGTTTTTCTAGGGTGAATGCAAAACGGAAGGAAATGAAAGGAAATGAATGCAAAATGCAAGGCAATGAATGCGAAATGAAAGGACATGTCTACAGGGATTGAGCCTTCAGCATGTATTGTTACATTTTCAGGAATTGGCAACAAAATGACCGGTTTGAGCAGATCACCTTTTTGAAGGAAATGAAAAGGAAAGGAATGCAACATGAAAGGAAATGCAAAAAATCCAAAATGAAAGAAAAGAATATGAAAGGAACATGAAAGCAAATGCATGCAACATGAGAGGAAAATCGAAGGAAATGAATGCAACATGAATAGACAATGAAAGGACATGTCTAAAGGGAACGAGCCAGCATTTAACCTTGCATGTTCAGTAAATGAGCTAGAAAACCCAGAAAATGTAGCTTAGCTAAATTTGCCAGAACTTGGGGGGGACCTCTCAGGCGATCCAATTACTTGGAATAGCTTGACAACATTTGTTTGCAACTTGTTATGTATGCTTGACGGTTTCGTTGTTAGGTGACATACTATGTGTGTATATATAAACATTGTATTTATATATATATGTTATATCTACATACGTGTACATGCTTTTACCGATGACGTCGGTGGGAAGTTTGTGGAGTGGATGGTGACGAGGTGAGAAATGCTTTTGTGTTCAGAACGACACACTTGACAACCTATGCAGGCTATGTAGCATCAATGAAGCAAGCTGAATCAAGCTGATCTCAGCCCGGTACATTCATTTCACTCACGCTTCTCACCACCGATACCCGCCTTGCCATGTGTTTTGGCACGTGGCAAAACAACTGATAACAAATTGTCAAGTCCAAATTGCAAATAGTCTTGAAACGTTCTTGCTCCTAGTAGAAATGCCAATCTTGCTAGTAGGTAGTAATGCCAGGAGCTATTAGTAGCATTCTTGCTCCTATTATTCTTCGAGATTGAAAGTGCGCACAGGAACGGTTGCCAATTCGATCATCTTCTGCTGTCGATGCACCGACAACTGGGGGCTCGTTGGGATCTGGGGAGGCGCATCAATTCATGAGTTTGGGTTTGCTGTTTGTTGTTGGCAAAACGCAGTAAACAGCTTATTTAGCAAATAGCATTGCAGGTTTTTGCTGTGGAGCAAGAAACTCCTGGTGCCAATGGCGTTCTTTTCTTGAGGCCGGGGAGTACACAGATAACACAGGTTTGGATGTACGAGATTTAAGCCTTGCAACACTCAAAGTACTGACTAGGTTGGCAGATGGTCGTGGTTGGGTACACCTGCCGCACTTCTTGTAGCTGACAGCCAAATTTATGTGTCTAGCAAATCTTGCCAACCCGTTCCAGGTCTTGAAAGTGATTGAATTTTGCATGTGACAGTCACTGTGATAATGCTCATCCACGCACCAAAATGTTGGACACATTGCTTCATCGCACAGCGGTTGCTGCGCACAGCAGGTGTTTGACCGGAAAAGCGGTTTGGGAAGAAAGAGACGGGCACGGCCATTGTGTGTGCCGTACCAGGCGCACTGAGTGCCACAAGGGAAGCATACATAAACTGACCATTTTGCACCTGGCAAAGCATGACGAGGTTCCTTTGATTGACGAAGAAGACGGCACAAAGACACGGAAGGCAGGAGTTAATATACAATATATATATATGGATGATTTGTCGAAGTGTTGCTGCTTGTGGTTCTTCCTTATGGAGGCACGAGACAAAGTTCGGAAAGCTTGCAATGGACCCCCCAAGGCCTGCACTATGAAAGGTAGCATATGCAGCCTATGTGCAAAGAGCATCCAAGAGCATTTTTTCAAGCGGACCGACTCCTCAGCCAAGTTGGGAGGCGAAGAGGAGGAGACACCAAGCAGTCCATGATCCATACATGGCCGCTCGACTATGATGCATACTGTAACATGCATTCATTTGAACATCAAACGTTCAACCTTGAGGTCGAGACTGCAGACATTATAGAGGCCCCTTGCCGCTGCAACTGGAGCGTTCACAATGCGTGACGTGTGCCGTTGAGGTTGAATCCGATGAGGGTAGACCGCTTGGTTCACCCAATGCGCGTAAGGAAGCCCCCGCGAACGTTTGGCCCACAGTCGTCGGCGGCACAGCTTGGTTTTGAGTGAAAAGCTTGTGCGCCATAAAGGAGCACCACAGTGAGCGAGACGTGGCAAAGGACGGCAGCTGTATTCTATTGTATGCTGAAGAGTGTTGAAGATTTGGTTCATTTTCAGCTTCAAGTTTCAGGAGCAACTTCGAGTGCAGCTGGAGAAGAAGCAGCAAGAAGTTCAGGTGCATGCTGCGCGACTGATGAGCTAAGATAATTTCCTGATGGACTGTTTGGCTTGTCATCTTGGCGAGCTAGATATGCGTTCTAGAGGGATTGTGTCTCATCAAATCTCATCCAGATGCCTTCAGCAAATCCTGTCAAAAGGCTCTTCGAGCGAAACTGTCCCAGCTGGACGCCAAAGAGGTGCACCAGACGGAAAACCAGGTCCAGTCCTGCCAGTCCATCCATGTCCATCCTTAATTCTGAATGAAAGTCATAGTTATAGTTACTAAATGTTACTTACTAAGTTGAATTCTGTGTTTTTCTTGCTCGAATTTCACAGCTGTGATCTAGCTCAGCGAATGAAATAAATAGGTCAATATTGAGCAAATCCGTTGAAAAGAACATAATCGAACTAATATACCCATGAGTGATCCCTGATGTCCGGATGCTTTGGTCAGGAGCTGAGGCGAAAGGTGCCAAGGCAGGCAGCATTTGTCATACCAAGACCAAGCCGTTTTTGTTTTATGTTGTTTGTAGGTCATTGCATGACAAAGCTTGTTGACATGAGGCAAACAAGTCCGGGTTTGCAAGCTGAAGGCATCAGCTAACGCGGACAAGAAACCCAAGCAACTGATTCTTTGAGAAGTCCAATAGTCAATAGTCCTATCACCTGACACGAGTGAACTCGAGATTCGTTGAGGCGAACGAGCGCATTCTGGAAAGGTGCTGTTGTGCTTGAGATTGGTTTTCAGCTTGTGTTCTTTTGATTTGATGTGTTTGGTTCCTTGTGATTGTCCAAGTGGTTTGGACAGAACGACCATGCTGTTCAGATCTCTTCACGTCTCCAAACTTGCAAGGCGAACTCCATTCTGGATCAGAAACGCCGCGAGTTGCAGGAGAGGAATGACATAGATCATAGAGCATGCAGGAAACCACTGTGGTGTTTGTTCAAAAACGCCAGAGGCGATGCTCGCTAAGAAGAGGCAGGGATTCAGTCTCAAAGCCGGAACACGTGATTCATCGTGATTCAGTTTTTCAATCGCAGGGCAAAGAGCATGGCTCATGGCCTGATTCAAAAGCCTGCGCCTAGATTTGTGGATTAGTGATGAATACAATTGAATACCTTGTACAGTCCGATGGAGTCTTCAGCATCTGCCAAAGAAGCGGGTGCAGCTCCGATTTGCAGAGACACCTGAGGCACAGTGCCTGAAGCTCTGTGGATCCATTTCTATTGACAAACTCTGCCAAAGAAAAGGCTTGTCTTGTGGATGCTTCGAGGGGTTCTTACTGGAAGGTCATGCTTTCATGGGACTTGTGGGGCAAGGTATGATATGGTTTAGTGTCGTGTTCTTTAGACCTACGTGAATGTGTGGCCCACCAGTTGCTTCAGACCGGAAAGCGGACTTCCGACGACTCTTGACTCCTGGAGCCTATGTGGTCTCGGCTGCAAGGCCAGAAGCTACTCTAAACAGTGATAAAGTGCAGACATGCACAACAGCAAATTTGGCCAATTCTCTATTTCAGGCTTGCACAGGCCAGTTGTTGCTGCGGCTGTCTCCTTGCCAAGCTTATGGCACGGAGGAGCAACAGTTGCATCCTGTTTTCCGAGTTGCTATGTCATCAAGATTTTTCGATTAGTATAGACAGTCCGGGCATGATCAGATTGCCAAACTAATGTACTGTGCAGGTTTGCACGGAATTCATCAAATGAGACCCGGCTTAAAAGGAGCTTCACCTTCAAGTCCGCGTAGCATCATCCAATGTCAGGACTGCCGGGTGAACCTGACCAGACTTGCAAGCATGTGGCACATACAGATTCTGTTTTTTTGGTTTGCAAGGACAAGGTCCATTGATTCTCACATTGCATATGTATATATATATATATTTAAAAAATTGCTTCGCCTGCGTTATGTAATATCTATAATTATATATATGTACATAGTATTTTTTCACCATAGTCTCATACAGAAAGTTCCTCTTGACAAGATGTATATATGCACACCAGACACACCAATATAACTTTCCTTTTGTGACACGATACTTATTCTTTTGATCAGCCTCTTACTATGTGCCAAGGCTCATGCTAGAGCAGAGCAAGGCTCCTTGCATGATGAAGCTGCTCATGCGAGGGATGCATCTCTGTTGTGAGGATCTAAGGCCCTGAGCTTTTAGATTTGTCCAAGAGCAGGATTTGCACCAGAGGAGCTTCTTTCATGCTAGCATGATAGCTGATGACTTAGCACCTCAATCTCAGCTTTGCCACCAAAAGGAACCCTATATATCAGGTTAGGAGACTCAAGGCAGACACAGCTTTGCAACCGGAATATAGCCCTGCATGTGTTCCTTCGGCAAAACTTGCCAAATGTGGGTCGCATGGACGGTAGCATATATATATATATAGATTGGGGCCGCGCTGAAGAGTCTAGCGCCACCCATATGTAATATACAGATATACGCGCACGCACGCACGCACACACACACACACATTACAAGAACATGTAGCCAAAAAGGGTCCGCTAGCTTTCAGATCACACGCATCAGGTCCCCAACATACAACCTCTATATATATATATGCAAAGCAAAGTCTTATGCAAAGCATTTGTTCGCTGAAGAGTCTCAGGAGACGCATTCAGCAACCGAGCGTGAGGTTGCTGAGGCCTTTATGCGGGCAGCAGCAATGTCTGCCACGGCAGGCATCCGTCTCCAACACGGAGGATGGAAGTAACTGGGTAAGCACATGCCATGAAACTGCGTGAACACTGAGCAAGACTCACTGCAAGTCGCAGGACCCTTCGGAGCAGCTGTCGTCCGCAATGGTGTAGTCATATCCTGCGCTCACAATATGGTACTTGAAAGGCACAGATACACAACTCGCAACATTGGATTGGAAAATGACGCAGGGTGAATTGTGTTTGGCCTTTCGCAGGCAAGATCCGTGCTGCCACGCGGAGATGAATGCCATCCAGCAAGCATGCCAGGCTTCCTTCGACCCCCAAAAATCAGGGACTCCGTTGAAAGGTTTGGAAAGACATTGGACACGAAAGGTACGTACCGCAAGGCACCCGGCATTTTTGTTGGCTGCCAGAGACGTTTGTCTCTTGAGGCACTTGGCTCGCATGACCTCTCAGATTGTGAACTCTACACCACTTGCTGCTTGTCTGATTTTTTGTAGAGCTTCGACATCATGAGGATGACAAAATAACTTCCACAAAGGCGAACCGTGTCCAATGTGCTGGGGAGCAGTACAATGGTCAAGGCCATGCAGCACGCAAGCACTCTTTTGTTTCATGGTGTGTATATAATATGAATGCTTTGGCCAGGCTGGGGCGTGCATTTATTGGAGTTGATCGCCATACAGCCGCAAAGTACGGCTTTGATGACAAGGCAATTACGAAGCAACACGCTGAATCATGTTGGATGCTGTCTTGTTTGAGTGTAGGTGTTCTACGACGAAATTGATTCCAAAGCAGGGCACTATGGGATCCGGAGGATAGATCTGGGCGGGTTCAGGTTGCTTGCCCGTAAGCAGCAAATTCCGCACCTTTTGAAAAAACAAGTTTGCTTGACCTCCAGGACTGGATACATTCCGGATACTTCAGCTGGCTACAATCCCCAAGGAGAGCGAGTCTTCAAGAACATGGTTGACGTTTACGATGGCATCCTCAAAGAGGACTGTGGCGATTCTTCATGCACAAGTCAGACAAGCAAAAACATGTATAAATTCCGAAGCAAGTCACTCTCATTATGTTTCGAACAATGTGTGAGGAATGTGAGTCATTTTTCAAAGATCTCTCTGTGAATCGAACTATGCGGCGGCGATTTACTGGAAAGGGTGGTGACCAGGTTCAGATACTCGGCAACAAATGGCAACAACACGAAAGCCAAGTCTTCTTATCGAAGATTCCTTGTGCCTTGCTTGCATCAAATGCATGCAACATGTAGTGCAACACTACTGCTTTTCCTAAGGAGCGCATACAAATTGGTTTTCAGCCGAGAGTCACAGCTTCGACCCCCTCCAGCTGGAGAGAAAGAACCAGAAGAGCACGAGAAGTTTATGCGCCTGGCCGGGACACCGGCGTGGATGATTGCGCATCCCAAGAGCTGAAGGAACTGTTGGAATAAGATGAGATATTTGTTGGTGTCTCAATTGTGGTGCTGCCACATCTATCGAACACAACCCAGTCTTGTTTATTTTGGCATGGTTTTGGTGCAGGCGATGGCCGTTGCTGCACGTGGTGCGAAAGCCGGACTTGCCAAGGAGCACATGCGTTTTGCAATCTGTTGCACGCTTTGCCGGATTGCGACAAGGGTGATTTCTTAGGACTCGTCGGGCACGTGGTTTGTGCAGTATTGTTGTTTTCAAATCTTCACCTTTTCACTGTTTTCTGCGTTTCTGTAGATAAACAAGGTTGTATTTGTACAGCATAAGACCATACGTATAATACAGTGTTCTCGTCATTGTTGCTTCTTAGTTGCCTTACTTTTGTTGTGGTTTATGAGCATTTCCAGGGTAGGTTGCAAGCGGGTCCTTGTGAATCTAGTTGCTGCAAAAAGGACCTTCAGAGTAAACACCACATCAAACCAATTACACAATCAGCTGTTGACATTTCCTAAGTGATGGAGTAAGTCAGGGTAAGGGTAAAGGACCGACGCACAAAGAACACAGATGCGCTCGAGGAGACGTCCATCTCTAATGATTTTTTGGTCGGGGGTCTAGTAGGTTTGACATGCTTTGACGATTAGCTGGAGAGGAAGCACTTTCACTCGCGGTGGCATTGTTGCACTGCCAGTTCACTACCAGGAAAGCCTACCAGGCCTACCGCCGCAGTGAAAGCCTAGCAGGCCTACCGCCTCATTCACCAGCAGTGTGAATCCACCACTGTACCAGCCTGTACAAGCTAGCAACGTGCCAACCCCCTCCACGGGCAACACGCGCCAGTTCACAAGGACTAAGAACCTACCACTTCAGCCTTTGACAATGCAACTTTTCCAGCCAAAACAGAAACCTGCCACTTCACCAGTGGTACAACCTAGATAATGTAAAAAAATACACCACTTCAGGATAAGCACTCGCCGCTTGACCAACCCAAAAAGTGATCTCCCCTCCTTTCTTGCAAGCTATTTTCCCACACCTTTTGGCCAGAAGTGATACTGTCAATACTGTCAATCGTGTGGTGCCGTTGAGTGCTTGGTGAGCGAATTGCATCACACACTGCAATTATATGTGATTTCGGCTCTGCGAAGGTTCACATCTATGAATGTATGTATATATTCTCTCTATCAACAGACAACAGAAATCCGGCACCAGTTGAATGCTTGTTGAGAAAGCGCGGTGGCTGTGTAGACACAGATGTTCATCTCCCTGCTTGCTGCTGACCAACCTATGTTTCACTTCACTCTCAATTCTAATACTTGGTCATACTTGGTCTATAAAATGTGAGCCATGGATTTTATGTAAAATGGATTTCTGTGAGTGTTTTAATGGATGCAGTGGTGTCCTAAAGTTTGAGACGACAAGGTTTGCACTTGACATGACTAAAAGGGCCAGAAGGGTCATTTGATACACCCTACTTGGAGGGTCACGAGAACCTGGAAAACTATGTTTGTGATGCCGTGCATGTTTTTGTAGCATGTCATGTGCACGTGGTGACCTCTTGCGGAGGCATCACTTTGTTGGCTGTGCATTTGTTTACGATTGCAGAGTGCACCGGTGTAGGGGAACGATGCGGCTTGGTCAATTCCAGACTTTCTCACCCCCCCGCGCCCTGCACAGTAGCAATAGCTGTTGCTGCGTGGCGACAGCCCTTCCTACGTGCTGTGCTGCTGCTGCTGCTGCTGATCGAAAAGCTTGGAGCCATCCCTTGGACATTGGACCCTGGCAATCAATGCCCACTGAAGCTATCAAGGCTCTACTGCTTGCAAGCAGTTCCAGGTGGTTGTTTGTAGGGACTGGAATCGCGAAACTGCTTGGCAGGGCTGCGTGATGTGTGTACTCCGACGGGTGTTTCCGCTTGACTTTTGGAGGAAGTCTCGTACGAAACGCTCGTTTTGACATGTGAGTTTTTTGAGGAAGTCTCGTATGAAACGCTCGTTTTGGAGACTTGACGTGTGACTTTTGGAGGAAGTCTCGTACGAAACGCTAGTATGTGGGCAGATCGTGTGGCGACGCGACGTTCGCGATGTCGCAGTGCCATGCGGACTTGCGCGGCCTTGGTGGGAAGCGCGTTTGCGTGGCGCCGTGCCACTGGGGAGCGCGAAACACGCTGGCGTAAACGCGGCGTGTCGCTGGTGAGCGGGATGATTGGTGGTCTCATGTGATATGTTTGCTTGTAGTGCGTGGCGGACCGTGTGGTGAAATTGCGTTTGTGATGTCGCAGTGCCACGCGGATTTGCGCGGCCTTGGTGGGAAGTGCGTTTGCGTGGCGCCGTGCCACTGGGTAGCGCGAAACATGCTGGCGTAAACGCGGCGTGTCGCTGGTGAGCGGGATGATTGGTCTGATGTGGCGGAAACTACGTTCGTGATGTCGTAGTGCCATGGGGGTTTGCGCAGTGTTAGTGGGAAGTGCGCGTCCCACAAGAGTGTCCCAGAAGAGTGTCCGACAAGAGTGTCCCAAAAGAGTGTCCCACAAGAGTGTCCTACAAGAGTGACCCACAAGAGTGTCCTACAAGAGTGTCTCACAAGAGTGTCCTACAAGAGTGTCCCACAAGGGTGTCCCAGAACAGTGTCCGACGAGAGTGTCCCAGAAGAGTGTCCCACAAGAGTGTCCTATAAGAGTGTCCCACAAGAGTGTCTCCCAAGAGTGTTCCGTAAGAGTGTCCCACAAGGGTGTCCCACAAGAGTCTCCCACAAGAGTGTCCCGCAAGAGTGTTCCAGAAGAGTGTCCTGTAAGAGTGACCCACAAGAGTGTCCTACAAGAGTGTCAGGGTCCCACAAGAGTGTCCGACAAGAGTGTCCCATAAGAGCTGTCCCACAAGAGTGTCCTATGAGAGTGTCTCACACGTATGTCCTACAAGAGTGTCCCGTAAGAGTGTCTCGTAAGAGTGTCCGACAAGAGTGTCCTGCAAGAGTGTCTCACAAGAGTGTCCCACAAGAGTGTCCGAGAAGAGTGACCCACAAGATTGTCCTTTAAGAGTGTCCCACAAGAGTTTCCTACACGAGTGACCCACAAGAGTGTCCTACAAGAGTGTCCTAACAGAGTGCCCCGCCAGAGTTTCCTACAAGAGTAACCCACCAGAGTCCTACAAGAGTGTCCCATAAGAGTGTTCTAGAAGAGTGTCCCACAAGAGTGTCCGAGTGTCCCACGAGAGTGTCCCACAAGAGTGTCCTGTAAGAGTGTCCCAAGACTGTCCCACAAGAGTCTCCGACAAGAGTGTCCACAAGAGTGTCCTATAAGAGTGTCCTATGAGAGTGTCCCACAAGAGTGTCCTACAAGAGTGTCCCATAAGAGCGTCCCGCAAGAGTGTCCTATAGGAGTGTTCCACAAGAGTGTCCTACAAGAGTGACCCACAAGAGTGCTCTACAAGAGTGCCCCACAAGAGTGTCCTACAAGAGTGTCCTATAAGAGTGTCCCACAAGAGTGTCCTATAAGAGTGTCCCACAAGAGTTTCCTACAAGAGTGTCCCACAAGAGTTCCCTACGTGTCCCACAAGAGTGTCCTATAAGAGTGTCCCATAAGAGTGTCCTGTAAGAGTGACCCACAAGAGTTTCCTATAGAGTGTCCCACAGGAGTGTCCTATAGGAGTATCCCGTAAGAGTGTCCCACAAGAGTGTCCTATAAGAGTGTTCCACAAGAGTGTCCTACAAGAGTGCCCCGTAAGAGCGACCCAGTGTCCTACAAGAGAATCCCACAAGAGTGTCCCGTAAGAGTGTCCCACAGGAGTTTCCTACAAGAGTGACCCACAAGAGTGCCCCACAAGAGTGTCCTACAAGAGTGTCATTTGGACATATATGTAGCTTTTCGATTGTGTTTGCATTCGGGGGGCAGTTTGTTTCACCAAACAGTTTACTTTTGGGGTTCTATCTTAGAAGAAAAGAGCTGGCCACACTGACTGGCCGCGCCCCTGAACTCTGTGGCCGGGCTTTGTGTCCGGTCTTGTCCTCCTTTTGTGCTCCTCTTGTCCTTGTCTTGGCCGCGCCCCTGAACTCTGTGTCCGAGCCTTGTCGTCCTCTTGCGCTCCTCTTGTCTTTGTCTTGGCCGCGCCCCTGAACTCTGTGGCCGGGCTCTGTGTCCGGGCCTTGTCCTCCTTTTGTGCTCCTCTTGTCCTTCTCTTGTTCCCCAAACAGTTTACTGTTGGGGCTCTATCTTAGAAGAAAGAGCTGGCCACACTGACTGGCCGCGCCCCTGAACTCTGTGGCCCTCCTCTTGTCCTGCTGTTGTCCTTCTCTTGTCCTCTGGCCGCGCTGACCAGCCCCGGACACACTGACTGGCCGCCCTTTAACTCTGTGGCCGCGCTCTGTGACCAGTGACCAGGTCTTGTCCTCCTTTTGTTTTCTTTTGTCCGCTCTTCTCTTGTGGCCGAACAATCAGCGATGTCGATGCCGACAAAAATCATTGAAAAAACAGTTTGCTCTAAGGGGGAAGATAGAGCCGTAGGGCGTACCAAGAGACCTTTTTTGACTAGATATTGGTCCGAGCGAATCGTTTTGAAACTGTTTGGGTTCTATGCTTGTATAATCTGTTGAGAATCCGTTATATTAATGGTATGTATATATATATATTTTTTTTTGTTGTTCTTCCACGGGGGCGCTTTCAAGACGTGTTTGTTACTATTCGGGGCCTGCCCATGCTGTTTGGATGTTTTTTAAGAAATTTATCTCATTGGGAAACCAATAGTGGTTCAGTGGTTGCTGTTTGCCGAGAAAGCCGCATACGTTTCGTTGCGAAAATTTTGATGCAAACACGCAAACATTAAAAAAAACACCTTTAACATTTTAGTTTTGATAGAACCGACCTGGAAAATCGCGGACTATCAGAGCAGTGTTTTATCAAAATTTGTGAAATAAAATTGTGGCCAGAGAACCCCAATGAGTTCTTGCGATGACCAACACGCAACAAGTTCAGGGCTTAATAGGAACATAATTTTTAAAGACACCAACGAGGGTGTACGTGCTACACTGCAATGCTGTGTACGGTACGCCGCGGACTCGCACTTCGTCAGAGATTACACCAACGCAACTTACAAAATACTAAAACCTGTTCAGAACCAACTACTGTGATTTTTGCACAACACGTTAGTAAAAAGTATGACAAACATAGGGCAGCAAATAGCAATAAACAATTCACATGTATTTTCCTATTGGTTCCTATAGGTTATGCTAGGCTGAAATGAGTTTCTACGAATGAAGTGAGTTAACTAGGGGTTTGGGGGGGAGAGCGGGCAAAATATGACAAAATGTGGAAGCCTGGTGGTGTTTATACTTTCTGAATGACTGTTCCTTGCAGCTATTGAATACTCAGCATTAAGCCATATTAAGCACAACATGTATTGGTGTGTTCCTGGCTTTCCGTGCCCCCTTCTCAGGTCCCATTTTTGTTACTGTGGTGTCTTTTCTGCGCACTTTATTTTATACATGTGTTTTGCTAATTTTACCGGTTAGGGATTTCCAATCACCAGCTTCATTTGGTGAGGGATAAAAAAGTGACAATAAAACAATTGTTTTGTATTGTATTCCCTTGTGAATGGACATATTCGATGCGTAGCAACATCTTGCCCTGATTTCACCAGAGAACACCTACCTGTTGATAAGTGTGCCAACTAACACTGAAAGTTCGTGCGTTTCAGTCTTTGAAGCATGTTCTTGTTTCGCTCGAATATATTGTTCCTGTCGCGGTGTTTGTCGCAATGTGCATAGTTTATGACAAGAGACATTGTTTTTGCAAGTCATTGCACATAATTGTCAACCCAACATACCAGCATGTACATAGCATATACCAGCATTGATTTCACAACTGCCGCAATACTTGGACTTGTCAAGCCACTCAGTGACCCCGTGTTCTGATGGTAAACAGGGAGAACACTAATGGACATGGACCACTAAGCTTCCCGACAGAAAGAGAAAAAGGAATATCATATTATCGGGTTTAGTGACACGCAATATCTTGTAAATGGCCTAACAATGCACCAATGTGGAGCACCCTAACGAAGCGTGAATGGTCTTTGCTGCCTCTTCGGTTTTAATCTTGATCCACAACTACTGTAGCCTGATTGTCCAGGAAAGAGAGTGCTTCGGGGCGGTCATCGTAAAGGATGGTGTAGCCAAGAGCCAAGATGTAGAAGATTCCTGCGACACTCATTTGATATTGCCTAACCTGGATCTGAAAGGTTCTCTCAGAGGCGTGCAACTGTGCATGTTGGCCGCAAGTTGAATTTTCCATAGTTTGTTGAAACATGTTCAAACAATCTTTATAATCATTTATAACACTTAGAGATGTGAGTGCAAGTGTTCATAATCAATGCAACCAAGCTTTAGCTCAGGTTCTTTCAGACCGAGATGCAACTGCGACAGCAGAAGTCAAGGCTATCAGGGCTGCGACAGCTCACATTGGCTCGTCAACACCTGAGTTCGAACATGTCTTGCAGACGCTTTGCCGCCGTAGCGGCAGAGGATGCTACTAGGAGCAAAGGGCATCGCTACTAGGAACAAGGACGCTACTAGGGTCTCCTGGCCTTACTACTAGTAACAAGAAGCTACTAGGAACAAGTGCATCGCTTCTAGTAACAAGTGCCTTACTACTAGGAGCAAGAAGCTACTAGGAGCAAAGGGCATTGCTACTAGGAACAGGACGCTACTAGCAGCTTTTTGCAAGTCTCGAAGCATCGAACACATGCATAAGGCGGCTCCACATGTGTACTTGATATATAACAACTTGGAGTGATTAAGAAGATATACAAACATGTGTACTTCTTCTTACAAACCACTATACAATAATTAACTTGGAGTGATTTAAGGCACATGCCAGAGGAAGGATTGAGAGCAGAGGAGGAAGGAAGGGTTCTGCAGAGAAACAAATGACGGAAGGTAATGTGACCCAAGAAAGGGTTCATAAGGTCAACAATTATGTTGTGAGCAGGCCTTTTGCTTGCTCAGTTTCCTTTCTTTAAACCATTCGCTTGTTTGCATCGAAGGTTACATAACTTATACATACTTGATAAAAATCATCAGCGTTTGGGTTGAGGTGTTGTTGGCATTTTTGGCCCTTGAAGAGGCGAATGTTTGATCTCGTGAATAGATGTGTGCTGGAAAACTAGTGTGCTGCTGTTGTTGGGAATCGTTTCCAGCGAGTTTATCCGTGTTTGAGCAGTTAGTTTGTGATTTGTCATGGCTCAGCTGCAAAGCCCAGGCACAACCTCGAGGGGTGTGATTTGTACACGACTGCCCACCCTGACTTGATGTCTCTAGGATGCTTGGCTGGAGTTACGATGCAACTATAGACAACATGCGTAACAGTCATGTGCCCTCGTTCTTCCACTTCCAAGGTGCAATTTTGTGGTCTCGCATATCTCGAGTCTATTGCGGCGTAACACAGCAGTTCGTTCCTTGACTGGAAGACATTAATTATTAAAGCTTCGTGCAGGCTACGCGGCTACCTGCAAGGGCTAGAAGGTGATGATCAGGTCACTTGTAGTCACTGAGCTTTCTGCAAGCGCCAGGTTGCTCATTGTGGCTTTGAGGACAAGAACACCTTGTGCACACTCTGATGACAAGCACTTGCAATGCAGTTGCCACCTTGTGTGTGCTCATTGGCTGATGTAGCTAGTGGGTAGAAACTGTGGGTCTTGGTTGATTACATTGTTGTTGCTGCTTCCAGCCAGTAATTGAAATTGTCGTGACTTGAAATCAATCCTAGCACTATGCCTCGTTTCAACAGCGAGGTAAGATGGTAAGATTGTAAAAGTAATTACAGTGTATATATATATATACATTGGGTCTGTCCTATTACCTGTAACAGTCAGTGAACAGATATTACTATTTTTGAACAGGGGCCCTTTACTAACCATCATCATCCACTGTTACAGGTATATAATAAGATAGACCCAATAAATACACAAATAGATAGTATACATAATTTGTTCTTGTACTTCGGCAAGATCGAATGGTTGGCGTGATGGTGTTTGTGTGTGTGTGTGTGGCAAGCCTTTTCCAAAAGCAGTGCCTCAGCCAATCGGGGAGCTTTTTGAAGATCTTTACCGATGTTCATTGTTAATTTCAGAAGACTGATGTAAGTATCAGAGCATCAGTGCCTGATTTTGTGCTTCAAATCGGGTTTGCGTGCAGGAAGGCTATCTTCATCTAAAGGCTGGGGTTCACCAGTTCTTCGTGCTCAGAGTCTCTCAAAGAACAAATTCCGACAAAGGTGGATGCACATGAATGAGTCACTATGAGTCACTTACTGATATTGAAAAATATACTTTTGAGTAGGACGAAATTTGCTGTGCGTTCCATTTGTGTATTTTTTTAATGTCCTTGGGTCCTAGATCCTGCTCAACTTGGCAGGATCTCTTGGAGACAGATACTGGAGGTGCCTATGTGACACAAGTGATTCCTGGTGTCGCAGCCAATGAATCTTGGACATGAAGACCAAGAACATGCAAACTGGCATGCCCTCGCAATGAGGCACACAACGAGTCATTTTGGTTGACATGTGCATGTTGCTAACATAGCATGAGCCTTTGGGGCCAAGGAATGCGAGGCAGTATTCAAGGAGTGGTCGGACAGAAACGGCGTGATATATTGACCTGACAACATGGTCTTTTGTGCATGTAGGATGCTTGTAAAATCGTGCAAGCATCGGCAATGCGGGTATTTAAATGCCCTTACTTTACGGTATGAAGAACAGTTTTCCATGCCTCGGAGAAAACCATGTCCGCAGAAAAAGCAGAGAGCCATGACATGACTGAGCTCTTTTTGATGCACCTTTCTTGAGCAAAAGACATATATCTATATATAGCTATTAGAAACAAGTGCCTTACTAGTAGTAACAAGTGCCTTGCTAATAACAAGGAGCTACTAGGAACAAGTGCATCGCTAGTAGTAACAAGTGCCTTACTAGTAGTAACAAGAAGCTACTAGGAACAA